AATTGTTCTTAATGTTATTTCTCCTTGAATGTGGTATTGACAATTTATTGTTCTTAATGCTATCTGTCCTTGAAAGTGGTATTGACAACTAATTGTTCTTAATGTTATTTCTCCTTGAATGTGGTATTGACAATTTATTGTTCTTAATGCTATCTGTCCTTGAAAGTGGTATTGACAACTAATTGTTCTTAATGTTATTTCTCCTTGAATGTGGTATTGACAATTTATTGTTCTTAATGCTATCTGTCCTTGAAAGTGGTACTGACAACTAATTGTTCTTAGTGTTATTTGTTCTTGAATGTGGTATTGACAATTTATTGTTCTTAATGCTATCTATCCTTGAAAGTGGTATTGACAACTAATTGTTTTTAATGTATTTCTCCTTGAATGTGGTATTGACAACTAGTTGTTCTTAGTGTTATTTGTCCTTGAAAAAGAACAATTAGTTGTCAATACCACACTTTGCCGGAGACATCTGGTAGTGAGCCCAATGTAGCCTTTCAAGCAGAGAGGACAGTTATACTGATAGACGACGAGGTATCCCTGCATTCTATTGATTTTGTTCTTGAATGGGAAAAGTTTGTTAATGGAAAGGAATTCTTAAAGATACATGAAGGTGTAATCAACTCAAATGAAACAAGAGTTTTGGTGATTTTAAAATAGTTGTAGGTGATTCTGTAGAGTAGTGGTTAAGGGGTTCGTCTACATTGGTCTGCGCAACAACACGTGAGGTGCCACAAAGTTTCCTCACGTTTAGTGTAGTGGGAGGGGAGCTTAGGATATGATCTCGTGCTTTTACTCCTCTAGCGCCCACCTTCACCTTTAAAATAAGTATGAAAAATAAATATATCATTATGAAATCGTATCCCCAGATTAAGCCTACTCAATCCACATTTAACTGGCACCAGTAATTGACGTGGAGTTTTGTCATGTTAATATTTATAAAGTGATTACTTATTTTTATTGTTGTTACAAAACAGTATGTAGATATAACACATTTAATATCTGGATAATGTGGTTTTTCCATTCTTTCAGTTTTTCTTTAAATAGAAAAATCGGCATTCGTATTTCTTATTCGACTCACACGTATGACCGGTGCTGTAATTATTCATACATAAATTCTAATGGATTTTGTTTTTTATATTCTTGTTTTGTAGCTATTGCTGTTTCATTCAGGTGAGAGTTTCAGGTTTAGGTATTGTAAAGTATATAATATTCAAAGCCTGTTTGTTTGTTGATAAGTGCAAAACTGACCAATGGTATACTTATCCTGTGCCTACAACACGAATTGAACCTCGAATTTTAGTGTTATAAGTTCCCAAGCTTACGCTGAGCCATTGGGAGGAATCAATATACAATTCAGAAAAAAACACATATTTAGAAAGACTGAAAGTGTTCTATTCATATATATTTTGCTGTTCAGTGTCTCATGTTTTTGCTTTCTTAATATGTTATCCACCTCTTGGTATACGTTTTTTTCATTTCTAATAAATATGTTATTCTTAGAGACTACTTTATAAATGAAACAATTATCCATATTTCGAAAAATAGAACGTAAATCGATAAAACAAAGTTACTGCTTAGCTTGATGTTTGTATTTCAAAATTCATGGCAATATTCAGTGTTAGGTGAGAAATACCTGAAAGAATGACCGGAGGTTTATTAAAGTTGTCAATACCCGCTGTTAAGATTAAGAGCAATTAACTTTCAATACCACTTTCAAGGACAAATAACATTAAGAAAAATTAATTTTCAATACCACTTTCAAGGATAAATAACATTAAGAACAATTAGTTGTCAATATCACTTTCAAGGACAAATAACATTAAGAACAATTAATTGTCAATACAACATCCAAAGACAAATAACACTAAGAACAATTAATTTTCAATACCACTTTCAAGGACAAATAACATTAAGAACAATTAGTTGTCAATACCACATTCAAGGACAAATAACACTAAGAACAATTAGTTGTCAATACCACATTCAAGGACAAATATATTAAGAACAATTAGTTGTCAATACCACTTTCAAGGATAGATAGTATTAAGAACAATAAATTGTCAATACCACATTCAAGGACAAATAACACTAAGAACAATTAGTTGTCAATACCACATTCAAGGACAAATAACACTAAGAACAATTAATTTTCAATACCACTTTCAAGGACAAATAACATTAAGAACAATTAGTTGTCAATACCACTTTCAAGGACAAATAGCATTAAGAACAATTAGTTGTCAATACAACATTCAAGAACAAATAACACTAAGAACAATTAATTTTCAATACCATATTCAAGGACAAATAACATTATAATAGCCAAAACATGATCACGAATCTTCACAGGCGTTAAATATTCATTCTATATTATGCTCTTTGAGATAATAGTAAATTGATAAATTGAGTGTTATTATCGCATATCTTATTCTACAATCGTTTTTTTTTCTTCACACAAGCCTCTAACACTGGGGGGTAAACGTTTTCCTAAAGTTATATTCTAATTAACATGTTAAAAGAATTCTCCATGACGATTACTTCCTGTTGGGAGGTTTTAATGGCCAGAGTCTCTTTGAAAATTAAAGGTTTCTTGAAGAGAATGTCAAATTGCACGAATTTAATCCCACAGTCACATTCCATAGCACGTTGCAAAACACGTGAGCTATTATGGTAGAAGAAGTACAATGTCCTGCATTTCATGTAAGTTGGCCAAGAGATTGGCTATATAACGTCAAAATTGTATATTACAATTCAATTAAAGTAGCTTTTTTTTTTCACCAACAAAGATAAACCTTCACTTATAAAACTCTATTTTTCTAACTGGGAAAGAGTTTTGTGCTCCCACGCCACACATTTATTCATTACACTATGGTGTATATAATATTTATTATGCTACAAGGACTCACAGCTATATGTCATCATAAGTCTATGAAAGTATTATTGCTGCTAACATACTTCACACCAAATATCCAAACTTTCCTCCATATTGTAGTCGTAACAAAATTAGAAAACAATGATGCTTCCTTCCTTGCGTTGGTTATCCCATAGAATCAGACATGTATGATATGATGCTTCCTTCCTTGCGTTGGTTATCCCATAGAATCAGACATGTATGATATGATGCTTCCTTCCTTGCGTTGGTTATCCCATAGAATCAGACATGTATGATATGATGCTTCCTTCCTTGCGTTGGTTATCCCAT